ATAGTTTTCGCAAAAAAACAGAAAATTGAGAAACCTTTTCTGAGAAATCAAATTCTGAGCAAAATGAGACGCCCTCTAGCACATCTCTAGGCTAAGATAAGGCCATTTTACTTTCAGAGATCAGATTGACCCGGAATCCTTTGCGATGTTTGCCAATAAGTCAGCCGAGAAAGACGCTGGAAAGCCCGATAAGATCTCCTTTTACTCAGAACTCGATGCACATTCAGATGCGATGCCTCGCCAGGATAATGACTTTCCGAAGGGTTCTGAGAGATTTCCAGAGAGTCGGTTTCTCAGTAAACCTCGTCATTACTCTGTGACCCTTCATGAGGCATCGCATCTGAATGCGCTAAAACGAAGCATACTTTTGTGAAGCAGGGTAAGGCGAATCTTCTGGTGTTTGAAAGAAGTCTCCAGCTCTCATGGCAAAAAACAAGATAGCATTGCGCGGTGAGAACCTCAAGGTTCGAGTGATCAGTGTTTGATCAGCTACAAGAGTTTAAGATTTGAAGAAAAGTCATCGAATGACAAGTGCCCAGATGTGGTTCGCGATGCCGAATTCGAAAATCGCACCGGTGAGATCGAAAAATGAAAAGATCAGGAGATAATCGAGATTTTTCTGAAAAATCGGTTTCCGAGGTTTTTCATGCTCTCACAGTATTTTGAGGTTTTCTGCATGAAAACTCGGTCAAATGGAAAAAATAAGATCAAATGCGTGATCAGCAGCGTCCGACGAATCAGAATATGTGTTTGACATTTCAAAAGCTTTTTCACTTGATTTTGAATTTATTACTATTGTTGTTGTTATAGATTTTCTTTCTTCTCCGTCTTTCCCTTTATACTGTTAACTTTTTATGCACCTGTACAACATGCTGTAATGGCCTTAGGGCTTGCATGTGTTATTAGTTATTTTTCTACCAATAAAGCTTGAACCAAGAAGGCGTAAAGTTTCTTCAAATATTTTTGATACAAATTATGATCCTTTATCTGAGATGATCTTAACTGGACATCCGAAACGGCAAATAACTTCATCATGAAGTATTTGTGCTATGCTGATTGAACACGTATTTTGCAATGTATTATTCTAATAACGAAGTAGAGCTGAGAAAAATTGCAGAATTTGAGGCCACATATACGTCAGATAAAGCAGTTTAGTGGTATACGTGTTCCTCTTTCGTTCGTTTAATGAATCAGGTGTTACGTACACAAGACCACGATTATTTGTATATGTTTCGTTTTTTTATTAATGAATTACATAATCAACTGAATGAACTGTATCATAGTCGTCCTCAACTGCCATTATCATTCGTTTACAGAGATAATGTTCTACCATCTAGCATTGTTCAAATATGAAAAAAAATGTTGAAGAATTGGCATCAATCAAGACGTATTTATCAACAACTACAAATCAACGAGTTAGTGATCTTTATTGTGGAAAAGGTGATCCGATTAGTCCAGATTGTGAGCGAGTGTCTTTAAAAATAAATATAGACACTAGATTGAATGTAAGCCTTATGCTTCCATTGCAAAATATAGTGCTACGGAAGATGAAGATGAAATTTTATTCTCAATTGGTACGATTTTTCGAATAAAATCCGTTGATAAAGACACACAAAATGAAATTTTAAATTAGACTTGACCGAAGAAAAGCATCAACGTTCTGTTGAATTAACACATTATTTGAAAAGACAAATTGGTGAAACATCAACACTCTCAACACTAGGAGAGTTTTTAAGCGAAATTGGTGAGTATGAAAAAGCAGAAAAGTTCTATTGGATGTTACCAGAAGAAATACCAAAAGATGATGAGCGTCAAGGAATGGTTTATAATAGTTTAGGATGTCTTCTGTATGAAATGAATAGTATTGCTGCTGCACAACACTATTTCGAGCAAGCAATTGAAATAATGAACATCACAAATAGTGATCCCCAATCAATTTTAACTACATGTAATTATGAAATGGCTTATTTGGATAGTCTTCTACATACAGTCACATCACACGCAGAAACAATTGAATTGCTAACATGAGCCATCCGCAAAAAGTTTCCATGCACAAATTTTAAATAATATAGGTCGTCTATATTATAAAAGATGCGATTATTCTAATGCGATAAAGAAATTCAATCAAGCATTTGATTATCTTCTGAACGAATTGAAAGTGCGTTATCCACCTGATTTATCAGCCATTTATAATAACATTGGGCTTGCACATTTTAAAACAAAACAGTATAACGATGCATTAGAAAGCTTTCGATTAGCGAACGATGCCGGCAAAGAATATTGCCCGCATGAACATCGATGGATCAAGGAGTACAAAAGAAATAAAGCAACAGCAGAAGAGTAGCTAATCATAAACTTCAAAAAATGAAGGTCAAGCCAAAGCGACTTGAAATACGTATTCGACCACTGCCGGGTGGAAAATCATCGTATCTGAAGAGATTTTTGTTCTTATTTCAAATTGAATGTCAGCCGAAAAACGCGCGTTACGGTAACAAAAGTGAAGAGAATTGAACCCTTAAGTTTACCTTCAATTTTTTGGAGTTAACTGGAAACTGAAACGGTTAGTTCCACATTACACGATTAGTCAAATAGTACGTCATATAACGTTCGACGGATGCCGCAAGCAGCCTGATAATTTATTTTTTAAATAATGACATAGATAAATATACATGATCTATTGTCGTTAGTACGTAATATGATGTATGTTAAAAAAATGTATAGATTTTGACAAATGAAAAAGATGCCAACGAGTTTCACAAATATATAAAAAAAGCAGTGTTTGTGAAAAAATTTGTATTTTACATAGCAAAGAAGAAGAGCACCATATCTTTTCCTTCTTTCTCAGTATGAAAAGCACACATTATAATCTACGAACTATACAAAAAAAAATGAAAATAAGAATTGAGTCACTGCATTTGGTTTTTGATGATAAATATGCATCATTATTATAATTAATAACAGCAAAGAACCATCATGATGTGTGTGTATCATTAAAAAAACAAATAAAGTGACTCAATTCTTATTTTCATTTTTCTTTATATTTCGTAGATTATAACGTGTGTCCTTCGTACTGAGAGGTGTTTTTTTTTAATATAAACTTTATTCTGTCAGAATATAAGCGGAAGAATATTCCATTATCGGCCTGGCCAGCTAACTCT